GCTGAACAGCAATCAGTTAATAGCTCGGAAGAAGAATCAAATGAGACTGAAACTGATGGATCCGAAGTCGAGGTAATGGTAACTACCTCATCCAAAAGAGAAAAGCTTACCGTCATGACTGTAGAAGCCAAAGTCGATGGAAAACCCATAAAACTTATAATCAACTCAGGATCCGCCGGAAGCATCGTAACGACAAAATTATTAAAAAAATTAAATCGTCAAATCCAACGTCCATCCACTACGGAAATCATTACAGCCAATAGTACACGAACAACACCATTGGGAGAAATAGATAATTTTCCATTTGAAATAGAAGGCATCTCAGTACCGATTAAAGTACTCATCATTGATGCCCCACAATACCAAGCCCTAGTCGGTAACGACTGGATGAAAAAGGCTCATGCCCAATTAGATTATCATCGATATTCTATGGCAATTTCATATAAAGAAAACGAAATGAGTACCGTAATTAGTTTCGAAAAGAAAAAAGGAAGCGAACATGACCCATACAGACCGATTATCGAGTACGAAAATTTTGCAATCACCGAAAACGACCATCAACGAAGAAACAAGAAAGAGAATAACCAAAGAATAAAGAACCGATGGACTCGCCCCAAACTAGAATGCGTCGAATGTGAAAAGAAATTATCGTCTATGAGCGCTACGATAGGACCCGATGAAGAATGGGAAGAAAAAACAGTTTATTATTGCAATTGATGCAATAAAAATTGTTTCGGATATGTCGAACAACCCCCAGGAACTGAATTATGGGACGGAACTGACTGTTTGGTATGTGAAAAATTAATGCCAGACAAATACTGCTGGAACGACATCCCTGGTGTTGGAGGAGTTTGCGACACCGATTGTAAATACGCTTATTTAATCAAATGATGAATCCAAGGAGGAACACCCTTTCAAGCCGCTTTTTGGCGCGCTTGTGATCGATTTAATGGAGAGCCTGAAGACAATGAAAAATTAAGGCAATTAGCCTTGAAATTCATCGAAGGAGAAACAAGAGAAGAATACTTCCACTTCGTCGATAAAATCGCCGATTATACATGGTTGGATGACGGAGGGATATTTCACGAGAATTACTAATGATTGGCTCTGACACGAGAAGAACAAGAAAAACAACCAAAATTTCTTTATGTATGACTTGTTTAATGCCATGTCAGGATCGATTCTGTGATGAATGCTGACCGGAAATGATTCCTATTCCGAACGAAGAGTGGACTGATCAACTCGAATGGTACGACGAATTCGAACAAATGTATAGTACAATCCTCGACTACCCAATCCCTGCTAACTTTACGGGATACGAGCTGATCAAACCTATCAAGTATAAGGGCAAAGAGAAAATAAAAGAACGACAAATTAAATGTTACCGGCATAAAACCACCGCAACTGTACCTACCAAGGCTCACAAGACCGACGCTGAATTCGACCTATATTATCCAGAAGAAAAATCATTGATGATTCCACCGGGAGAAACGATAGTAATCGACCTAGGGATTGCTGTAGAAGTTCCTAAAGGAACAATGATGCAATTAGCATCCCGTTCCTCACTTGCCAAGAAAGGAATTACAGTGGAAGGAGGAATAATCGACTCTGGATATGTCAGAAATCTGCAAATAATATTAAACAATAGCTCTAAAAAAGCCTACAAAATACTACCAAAAGAACGAATAGGACAAGCGATTTACTTACCGCTTGTACCAGCAAGAACAATGTTAAAGGTAGAAACTCGGGAAGAATTAAAAAGAAGTCGACGAGGACAAAAGGGTATTGGATCCACCGGACGAGTGTCACAAGAAGCCAATTTGGCTGTAATCGATGAAGAAGATGAGAATCAATCTACGGGAATGCCAGTATTATTGGAAAAGACAATCTCGATCTACCCGAGAGGAATGATTGTTTATGAAAATCGAAATGGAGAAATGATTAGTTCAAAACCCCTAATATTCGAGCCAAATCCAAGATTGTTCGCCCAATACCGAGTAATCTGTAATCACCAGTATATTTCACCTGGAAAAACATATAAATTACAACTTACTTTGATAAATCAAAGTAATCGGATTGTAATCATAGAGGAAGGAACCGTTCTCGGATTCCTGGAAGACGAAATACAGGAAATACAAACATTCCATAACGCGAATGAAATCGCTCGACACTTTGGATTATCTTTGGAACATTCAAAGTTATCATCCACAAAAGAAGGAGTAGAAGCGTACATCTTAACGACCCAAGATCTACCAAAAATACACGTAGGATCTATTGGTAATAACCAACGACAACAATTAAATCGATTAATAATGAAATATTCCAACCTATTTGCATCGAATGAAAATGACATGGGAAAGACTGATAAGGCTTATCATTCGATCAATACCGGAGACGCTCAACCAATTAGACAACGAGCGTATCGTACCTCGCCAAAGTCTACCGAATTCATCAAACAGGAAATCGAACGAATGTTAAAAAATGGAGTAATCCGTCCCTCGACAAGCCCATGGTCATCGCCCGTTGTACTAGTTAAAAAGAAAACTGGGAAATTAAGATTCTGCGTTGATTATCGAAAACTCAACGCAGTAACAAAAAAGGACGCTTACCCACTACCCAGAATTGACGAGATCCTTGATTCGCTAGGAGGATCTCAATGGTTCTCGACACTCGACTTGGCTAGTGGTTACTGACAGGTCGAGATGGACTCCAAAGACAAAGAAAAAACCGCATTTACAACTCAACAGGGCATATACGAATTTAACGTAATGCCATTCGGATTAACGAATGCCCCCGCCACCTTCCAACGTTTAATGGACATAGTCTACACCGGACTGGCATGGACATTCTTGGTCATCTACCTGGATGACACTAATATCCACTTGCCGACCTTTGGAAGTTACCTCGACCACCTAGAACAAACATTTCAACGGCTCCAAGAAGCAGGCCTTAAATTGAATATCGATAAATGTCACTTCTGCAAGGAACAATTGGAATTCCTTGGTCACGTCGTAACGAAGGAAGGAATTAAATCCGACCCTACTAAAATCCAGTAAGTACAAGATTTTCCGCAACCGACCAATCTGACAGAATTAAGAGGATTTTTAGGATTAGCATCCTATTACTGACGCTTCATACAAGGATTCTCGGAAATCGCTAATCCACTTCATCAACTGTTAAAAAAAGAAAATCAATACATTTGGACAGAAGCAACAGAAGAAGCATTCAAATTATTAAAAAAGAGACTTACCGAAGCACCAATACTTCTCTATCCGGATTTTAAACAGAAATTTATACTAGTCACAGACGCATCCAAACTTGGACTCGGAGCAATCTTATCGCAAATAGACAAAAATGGAAATGAACGACCAGTAGCGTATGCTAGTCGTGAACTATCACCGGCAGAACAAAATTATGCTGCGCATGAAATGGAATGCCTCGCCGTCATCTGGGCAGTAAAATACTTCCGCCAATACTTGTTGGAACAAAAATTCGACATAATTACCGACCATATTAAATTGAAATGGTTAATTACCAAATCCACTCCAACCGGAAGAACAATGCAATGGATTACCATATTACAAGAATACGAATTCGATATCATATATAAACCCGGACGTAAATATTCGAACGTCGACACTTTGTCTCGAATATTAGGGGTTTTGAACTAATCATTTCTCTATTTCGATTTTCATAAACAATCATTCCTCTCAGGTAGATCGAGATTGTCTTTTCCAATAATACTGGCATTCCCGTAAATCGATTCTCATCTTCTTCATCGATTACAGCCAAATTGGCTTCTTGTGACACTCGTCTGGTGGATCCAATACCCTTTTGTCCTCATCGACTTCTTTTTAATTCTTCCTGAGTTTCTACCTTTAACATTGTTCTTGCTGGTACAAGCAGTAAGTAAATCGCTTGTCCTATTCGTTCTTTTGGTAGTATTTTGTAGGCTTTTTTAGAGCTATTGTTTAATATTATT